CTTGCCTTCGTGAACAACGAGGAATATTGTAGGGAATACCGATTTTTTTTTTTTTTTGCGTGACAGGGATCGGAGTTGTGATCAGCATTTAGCGAACGGGAACTAATCCTAATTATATCTTGCGTAGAAAAGGGATTAATTATAACTAAAATATAGCTCGTTACGACCCTGGTTGAAAGCACAGGTGACAAAGAGATCCCTTGCCGCATTATATTTTTAAGACCAACAAAAGATATAAAATTTTTTTTGCGTTTCACTGATTAATCCGGGTGAAGTCAACTTTCATCTATAATCTTTCATCTGAATAAATTACCCAAAAGTTAGCTATTTTAAGCATTTTTTTTTTAATTAAGGTTTGTTTTATATACTTTCGACTGATTTCATTGAGAATTGCTAGCGTGTATCTTTCGTTACGTGAGAAAATCTCGGTGGGAATGTGCCCCTCGGTTCTCCAAATCTTGATCCTAGTTTAGACCAAGAAAATAGGGATGTAGATAATCTAGATTATAGCCGCAAGCAGGGGAAAATATCCGGCCGTCATTGTGATTTTTCCGGCTGAAAAACAATGCTGTCTTCCTCTCCTACAGTGTTCCTCTCATATTACCCGCCCATCAAATACCATTTCCCGTCCGTTATAAGTATAATATACATCCCTGAGAAATGTCATTTTCCATCCCCGCTTTCGGACGTTGCTTCCAGAATCCAGACCGGTTTTCAGACCTGGACGCCACCAAAAATATTTCTTAAGATCCATTTCTCCTTTTCTTATGATTTGGAAATGAAACAACTAACACGTTCAGCCACTTTCGTCGTTCCCCTCGAAGAACATACCCTAATGCAGACCTAAATGTGCAAATTCTATACCCGTTTTCAAACAAAAACGGCGCAAAATCCATACCCTTTGCATTATATAAGGGAGTACCACCCCCTAGGATAGTCACGCGTTTGTGGACAAATGAAACGATCGAGTTTATCTGATAATTTATGTGGAAAATGGGCTTAAGGTCG